CTCTCAAGTAACCGGTTTTGCTTCCCTTTGTCCTTTTACATAACCGTTAATAAATTGTTTTGCTTTAAGAAAGCCAAGTCTGTTTTGCCCGGGACCATGGTTGGTGGGTGCTCCCTCTGTTCTTGTCTTAACCCTCAGTCCCTTTATGATATTTTTCTCCTCTCCACTTCACTGGAGAAGGAGAGACTGTGTGAGTTTTAGTTGCTGGATCAGCCTAAAACCACGACAGGACCTCAAAGATCATCCAGTTTCAATCCTCCCTGCCATGGGCAGGGGCACTCTACACTACACCAGGTTGCTCAAAGCCTCATCCAACCTGGCCTTGAACACTTCCAGGGACGGAGCATCTACCGCTTCTCTGGGCAACCTGTTCCAGTGACTCACCACCCTCAATGTAAAAAATTTCTTCCTTATATCTAATCTAAATCTCCCCTCTTTCAGTTTAAAGCCATTGCCCCTTGTCTTATCACTACATACCCTTGTAAAAAGTCCCTCTCCAGCTTTCCTGTAGGCCCCCTTTAAGTACTGGAAAGCTGCTAGAAGATCACCCCGGAGCTTTCTCTTCTCCAAGCTGAACAGCCCCAACTCTCCCAGCCGTAATGTCCCGCAACTTAATGTTCCCTGATGTTGACTGAAGAGTCCTGACAATTCTATCATTCAGCTCTTGCTCTGCTACAAAATTTCACACATACAACAGTATGAATTGCCATTTTGCTCTCTTTCTTCACCAGTTTTATTTCCACAGTAATTTTAATTACACAGCAAGTCCAGGAGAAGTCCACATGTTCTGTGCTTGAAATTATCATACATGAAATGCAGGAGATAACATTCTCATGAGCTATAGCAGCTGACATTGTCTGAAGTTTCTCTCAGATCTCCCAGGAATGTGAAATAATTCCTATATGTGGGATTTCCATCCCTGGGACTTTCACCTATGAGCTCCTTGACATAGGTGTCACATCCAGTGTAAAGTACAAGCACTGTTAAGTGCAGAAAAGCAATGGTAGACATCCACAGCATCTCCAGGTGGCTCCTTTTGAACAAGCATCTGCTCAAAGGACTGCTACCACAGCATCATTCAGAAGCTTGCGCTGCCTATGGCTGGGGGGGGGGGCTGCTGGCACCGCCTCGCTCGAGGCGCCATAAAGCCATAAAGCTCAAGGTAACTTTACAGGTCAGGGTCATATTCCTTTCCAACTGCCCGCGTCTATAAAACGCACGCGAGGCTTCGCCCCGTGGCACAGATGCTTTGCCCTGCTGCGGATGCACAGTGCCGTGCCCGCTCTTTCCTGCCACGGGGAACTCTGGCTCTATGGCTGCCGAGATCCCAGCTGAGAAGTTTGGGAAATGTCGGTGCGAGACGCACCACGCTAAGAGCATCCTGTACCAGATCCTTAACCAAGAGCGCGGAAGTGAGACCCAGTGGGACCGGCAGTATTGCCGTCCCCATCGCTCCACAGGAAGCAAGAGCTGCTCTTGTACGGACAGGAGAAGAGTTGTCCTGAAAACACCAGAAGACACGTGCCGAAGAGCTTCTGAAGTGCTCGTGAAGACTTTAACGTTTATTAGAAACTTGCCTTCCTTTTATCACCTGCCTTGGGAGGATCAGGTTGTCCTCGTACAGCAGAACTGGGCCCCTCTTTTTGTCCTGGGCATGGCACAAGAAGGGGTAGATTTTGACCTGAGAGAGATTTCAGCCCCAAGTTTATTGAAAAAAATCCTTCTCAATCAGTCTTTGACAGCTAGCAATGAACTGGGCAGCTCGTCACTGGGAGCATCTTTAGCAGAAGTTCAGAAGATGAAGAATTTATTGTGGAAATTCTGGGACCTGGACATAAGTGCAAAAGAATATGCTTATCTTAAAGGAATTATTCTTTTTAATTCTGGTAAGTCTTCTGGGAAATTACACATGATTATGTGCCTATAATGACATTTGGCATTTTTGTTTGCATATAGACAAATGTTTAGTTTTACTCTTTTCTATGAATATAGCCAAATGTTGTCAAAAATCTATATTCCACAATTCAATGATTTTCTGCCTGAAGTAGTTTATTTCAGTTCCTTGGATGTGTGCAGCAGGTCACCCACTGTGGGTCAAAACAGCTTCTAGTGGACAAATTTTAAGTCATAAAGAATTAATTGTGTCACTTCAAACCGATTCCCAGTTTGAAGGTAAGAGAGCAGCCTCACCCATAGTACAGCAAAGGGGAGAAGGTACACGGGTATGTGATGGGAGTTTTACAAGTATTTTAACAGACTTCCTCTGTAGCAAGAACATTGGAGAAGATAACATAATCTATATCATCTGATTGCCATCATTGAGGCAAAAGGATACTGCGTTGAGGTTACACAGCATGTATTTATTTATTTATTTATTTATTTATTTATCTCATAATATCTCTACATTCAAAGCCTGGGATGGCAGTCACAGAGCAAACTCAGAGTAGCGATTACATCCTCCCACTTCTAGTGCCAAGTGCAGCCTCTTTAGGAAGGCAGGTTGCCTAGGTCAGCACCACTGAGTGTGTGAGTCATTAAGAGCTGAGCCCTAAGTCCGCTAAAGTAAATGGAAAGCCTTATTGACTCCAGTCTGCTCTGGCTCAGATCCCTGACTCCTTCCCCAGCAATCAGTGCTGTTGGCTGCACTGTCAGCAGTCTGCTGCACTTGGGACCGCACCAAAAGGATGCTTGAACGCTTCAGTTATGCCGTGATATTTCTTGCGGTGAAGGGTTTATAGGCTGCTCGAAGGCTGTAGTGACTTTATATTTGTTTCCAATAGGATTCAAGTTCTGATTCTTGAGATGTAATGTCATCCGAATGTTTGGTATTGTCTTGTGTGCCTACGCTGCAGCATCGAACCAGTGGAGTTTGTTTAAGTGCAAGTTATTTTCTCAGTTTTTCACAATAAAGTCAGGCTGAGAGAAACCACCAGTTATATCAGGGTGATGGTAAGAGGAGGAATCCCTCATTTGCAGCAGCTTACACAGTTTAACTAGCAGGCATTTTTGTTATCTCTGTGGATAAAATGTGATTTGCACTAATGAAGAAAGCAGCAGAAGCAGTATTATGTTCCAGATTCACACTTTCTGATGCATCCCCAGGGTGCCATATGAGAGGCACAGAAGCCTGTCATGCCATCTGCAGACACCACCCAGGGCTTCAAGGGGACTCTCTAGTTCATAGGTGGGATGACCCTATTCTGTGGAGGTGTCTTTCTCCACGGGTGGCAGAAGGCAGCTGGGAGGACTTTAGTTAAGCCTAGATTAACTCCAGATGAATCATAGAATCATAGAATGGCATAGGCTGGAAGGGACCTCAGAGATCATCTAATCCAACCTTCCTGTCATGGGCAGGACTCACAGTTTAACTCTGGGCTGAAACAAGTACTCAGGGCTTATGCACAGCCCAAACCACCCTTTCTCTACCTGTTTTGCTGCAAACAAATCTGTACAGCTGTCATTACACAATTAATATTTTTAATAGCTCTTGAACACTTTCCACCAAACCCAGAATATGTTTTCTACATACATGCAGCACATTTTCAGCTGCCCTCTTAGTTTTGGCTTGATGTTTGGCCAAATCTTAATATATTACAGGCCTCAGTTCTAAGAGGATTTCAGGCAGCCACCAGCAGTGACAATGCTAAACCCTCTCCTGGATCATGGAGAACCTCGTGTGGGCTCCCATCCTGAATGTTTTATTTCTGTTAGGACCACCAGAACCATCTGAGGCAACGTAGAAGGACCAGGCACCGAGCGGTCCAGAGCTGGTTTATGAGTTGGAGTGCAACAGGGCCCCCAGAAATGCAGCTGCAGCAGCAGAGCTAGGCCAGCGCTTGGGCAAGAAGCATGACAAACAAGTATGGCAGAGCTTTGCTTGTGCCCTAAGTGATCTCTTATGGCATAGAGATTGCTCTTACTATCATAAAAAAATCCCTTGGGGACAAGGTAGGAGGTAGGGTGGAGCGTAGGTCTGTGCACTAAAGCACAATCTGCGCAGTACGTCTGTGCAGTAGGTTCTGGCTGGGTTAGTGATGGACCACATCTGGGCCAGCAAGAACTTGAGAAGGAGAAAGGGTGCACCCAACCCCTGAGGGAAAACAGGCAGCCTTGCATCAACTGAATCCAGACTCTCCAGAACATATTGCTATCCTTGCTCTTTGCAGGGGTGCTTTGGCTCAGTGGCTTTGGAGAGGTCAAAGTGTGTGGGTGAAGGGTCCAGCTGCAAGGCCTTCACTAGGACCCAGGCAATAAGTCAAAGGAAGGAGCAGGTAGGACTGTCCTACCATGCATGAACAGCACAGAGTGAGGTGAAACTGCTCATGCTTCTTTTGACAATTGTCTGAAAAGCAATAAGAACTGTGCAGTAAAGAGCTGGGAATCGTGAAAAACGGTACTGTTATCATGTCAGTGCCATATATACACATAACTTCACCCTGAGGATGGTGAGGCACCGGAATAGGTTGCGCAGAGAAGCTGTGGATGCCCACCTGGTCTAGTGGAGGGTATCCCAGCCCATGGAAGGGAGGTTGGAACCAGATGATCTTTAAGGTTGCTTCCAACCCAAACCATTCTACGATTCTATGAAATATAAAAAACTCCATCAAGGCTGTGACAGGACTTCTGTTAAAAAAGACACTCTTAAGAGGTTTACTGTTCAGCTGGAAATGTGTTTGACTGAATATTATTACAACAGATCTCAGAACAAGAAGTTTCTCTTTATTTGTAAATTAAAACCAGTGTTTGATTACATATAAAAGAAGACCAAATGGGGAAATCAAGCAAATTTGAAGGAATAGAAGCAATTGCAATTTCATCCTGAATATACAAAATCCTGACAACCTCCTTTCCATGAAATATCTAACACTTGGAACCATCCTCACAGCTTGCAGCTGGTGGTAATCCTGGGGGAAAAAATGACTTTTCCAAATCCTTAATTTCTGGCTCGCCTGGCTGCAGGCTTTGCTGAGGCTTCTTCTCCTGTGGCGGTGATGTCTAGGGAGAAGAGAGCTGCTGAAGACTGTCTGACAAAGGGCAGCCAGCCACAAACTGGAAAAAACTCCAACCAGGTTGGTTTTGCCCTAGTACAGGGCACTAGGCAAGGAGGCAGAACCTCCCACACTTAAATGATCCTGTGTGAAACACAAACCTCCCTGGGTATGGAGTCACTCACTGTAAAAGATGCTGAACGGGCCTGGAGTGTGTGCTGGGACATAGGTTAAAATAAGGCGTGGGAGGCAGGAGGGGCAGAAATCATGAGGATTCATGCTACCCATGCGCAGGCTGCAGCAATTTTAGGAACGGAAAGATGGTATTATCCTCAGGTGGTGAGAACAGGATGCTGAGAGCTACGTGACACGGCAATCCCACCAGAGGCAAAGGATAAACACGCAGTGTCCTTTGAACTGATCCCTGGCACTCACAAAGACCGTCAGTGAGCCAGCATGTTTGAAGTCACATGCTACGGGAGGTGCGTGATTGAGGCTCAAGACCATGACTCCATAGGGCAGAGACCTCTCCCTCTTCAGAAATGGCTGAGGAAAGGGAGTGAAAAACAGGAAGTACAGTCATCTGCCCTACTCCTATGGGTCATGATACATCTCACAGAGAACCTTTATGCTCTTTTTAGGCTGTAAATGAAGATACCTAGATTGCATGGTGAACCATAGTGCCCCAGCTGAGTCTAGCAAGCAGAGGCAATAATACGAGGGAGATGGGGCTGGGTAGACTGGAAACCTATGTCTTCAGGCTGCCAGCCTGCTCACTGCTCCAAACCACCATCTCCATCTTCCTGTTACCCACCTATTTTAGATTACAGCAGGAAGGTTTCCACCTACTCAGACTACGGTCTCAGTATCATTTGGTGGGTAGACAACATTATAAAGCTCCTTCTCCATCTGTACTGAGTCAAAGCTACTTCCTGTTACTATTTCAAAGCTGAATTTAATGTAACGGGCTAGATTTCAATGTGCTTACAACACTGCTCAATGTTCCTTCCAATTATTGAACCATGCATACATTCTTTTTCCAGAAAATATGTTTACAAAATTTGTATTGTTTTCTAGGGAAAGTAGAACCATAGAATCATAGAATGGTTTGGGTTGGAAGGGACCTTAAAGATCATCTAGTTTCAACCACTTTGCCATGGGCAGGGACACTTTCCACCAGAAGTACTATAGTATTATACTATATGTTATACAGAAGTACTATAAGCTAGAAAGCCAGACACCCATCATTATGAAGGGCACAGAACAAAAGTGTTTACTGAAGATTTATTATTTTATTTTTTGTTTTGACAGGATGCCATGTCCTAAAATATCTCCCCTATGTACAAACACTGCAGCAGGAAGCTCAGCAAGCCTTGATGGAGTTTATCTCAACGGTGTTCCATAGAAACCGAGGCAGATTTGCCTGGGTTCTTCAGCTAATCGCCTCTCTTCGAGATATTGATGCAGATGCTATTGAAGAGCTCTTCTTCAGGCCCATCCTAGGAGAGGCCACCGTGAATGTATTACTTCTAGAGACCCTGTATATCAAGCCAGACTGGCTTTGAAAACAGATGACATCTGTGATCTCTAATACCTATTTTTGAAGAGATGAGGGGATTTTTATGAGCTAAACACATTTCAAACAAATAATTGATGTACCTTTGTAAGCCATATATATTTTTTGTATGATCGAGTAATTTTGTAATATTTTGGAATTAAAAGCAGAGAAATCTAAGAATTTCGTGATTCAAAAGAAGAGAAATCTAAGCATTTCATGATTCTGTGTGCTTTCAAAAACCTTTAGTCTAGCATATTCAAAGACCATCTAGGAACACCAGCATACTTTCCTGTTGTGCTAGGTTCAACCGTATTATTTCTAGTAAGCATTTTTATAACTGTTTAAAACTAGTCTACTTGCCTTCGGCTTTCCAGAAGTTTTTGCTTTCAGGAAAAGGGGCAGTGGTATATTTCATTCAGCGCATAACCAATTGAAGATGAATAGATACAGAAAAGGCTGATCGGTGGTAAAATCAATGTAAAACTTTCCTTTTCCTCAGATGTCATTCCCTGATCCCAACCTCTTTTCTGTTCCACTGAGAGCTCTGGTCCTTGGCTGTAATTGCTTGATGGAGCTCCCCCTTACTGACAGCTTTCTTACAGGTTCCTTTTCTAAGTCTTGCAGTAACTGTGGGCATTAAATGCCTCTTCCATTTTTCACAACATCTTTCCCTGACTAAGAAAAAACTTGTTGACTAGACAAAAGCTGTTGTTCAGGATTGTTTCCAGGATGGGAATAACAAAGGCTGAGAGCTATTGTGTTATGCCATAAGCAGCAGAAGTAATGTAGCCCGGTTTCCTACATATTTAAGACTTTTCCCCTCTAGCCCTCCCTGCACCCTTTTATAATTACCCTCACTTCCCTCCCAACAGATGGCAGATGTTCCTTGGACAGCAGAAATGCTGAAATATGGTTTCCTACAGATGTGTACAATCTGTTCCTCCATCTCAGATTGCAAGAGTTTCACGTCTCCACCTCCAAGTGTGCTACGGCATGCCCCACAACATCTCACTGTCTCCTACTTGGCTGGCTGGAGAAGAGGCAGCATGTGTTGGGGTTGGTGCCAAGCTATGTGAGTGCTGACTGGTCATCTGTCAGGATAAAAAAAAACCATTGAGCTTATACTTTAGCTGCAGTAAGGGAAGCTATTTGTATCTCTTTCCTCTCCTATTCCTCTCCCAATGATTTCCATGAAACTTAGAGGAATTAATTTCTGAGTTTTTTCAGTAGAGGGTCCAATCTAGTTTTGTTTGGCAAAGGGGCTTAGATTCACCAAATGGGGACTGACAGGCAGGCAGATAGACAAGAAGACAAGGAGTATGATAGCTTAATCCACGCTTCCTTAGAAAGTCAAGCTAAAACTGTAAGAAAAAGAAGTCTGGCATATATATATATACACATGTACACATCAACACATATTTACATACAGAGATAGATGTTCAAAGGACTTTAAAAGAAAGTCAACCAAGGAAAAAAGAAGCTTAAATAATAATAAGAGTTTCCTGCCTACCAGTTTCAGCTACATTAGACACATTTTCCCCCACTTTGGTAACTGAGGAATAAATGGTAAAAATAAGGGGAAAAAAGCAAACCCCAAACAAGACAAACCAACTAAGTCCCTGGGTACTAGTGATCATGGAAGTAACAATCTCTGCAGTAAACACAACTCATCTTCCTATGTTACAAGTTGACCAAACCTTTTAGAAAATAAGCTTTTTGGGCTGATAACTTTCCATGGAAAGCCTTCAGGCTAGCATTTTTCAGCAGGTTTTTGTTAAAATGGTTCAGTAGTGTTGCCACAGATCAAGTGGTGCATGGTAACAGGATATTCCATGGCTAGTTGTTTGTGTTCACGAGTGGAAACATTAGTTCCAGAGATTTGCTTTTTGGCTGTTCTTTTTAAGATTCATGCAAGCAGTGTACATCCAAAAATCATATTTGCATGTTTGGTGTCGACAATATTATATGGCAGTAGATGTACAAGTTTCTCCCTCTCAAACTCCTCCCAAGTCCTAACGACTTCTACCTTCTGGCTGCTACAAATGCTCCACTTGCACAGGCGACAGTGCAGCACAGGCCAGGGCTCCATCAGCGGGACCCAGCCGGCCTCGCACACGCAGCAGCTTCTGCAATGGGAATGGGAAGAAGATCCCTGCTCTGATCTCAGTGCTCCCACTGCTGGTGTGAAGAGAGCAGAGAGGGGAAGAAACACCCTCAGATCAGTGGGAACAGTAAGGAATTTTGGATAGAGGTAAAAAGTACAGAAAACATGTAAAATGAGAAATAGTCATGGGTGGTTAGAAACAGGAGCAAAAAGGGAGATAAAAAAAAGCAGGAGAGGGGGACAGAACAGCTTATTAATAGAGCTAATTTCTGTGTAGTGTCTAGCTTACCTTCATAAGCCAAAGGCCTGCTCAATGACTCACCAACAACCTGAACCCAGGACAGGGTTCATGATTCAGTAGCCTGAATTTCAGGCTACTGAGAGCACATCAGTCAGTCTCTGCTCGCAGCTTTATTTCTTATCGAAATCTGCTTCAAGGTCTTTGACTTTATCTTCAAGTTATACAATGGCTTCAGTTCAACTTTCTTTGAACTGGAGGGCACAATGCCAACAAGTTCCCATGGCTTGCTCACCTGGAAGACAATGCTATATTTGCTGACTACTCTTTTAGCCTGATGGGTGTCTATGTAACCAGCTGCCTGAAAATAAAGCCTAATGCTCCACAGCGAAGATCATGGTCAACATCGTGGGTTTTCAAGATGGCATTACCTTCTACCACGAAGGCAAATACTAGGATTCAAAAGAAACTCCCACAAGACCTGATACTTGTGGACCTCACCTGATTGTGCTCTGAATACAAGATTCAGTCCTTCAACAAGTCTTTAACAAAACACATCTTCTGTAGTATGTATGCAATTAAAAAATTCAACAACCTTGAGCTAAGGCTTTAGGTTGGTTTGGTTACAAACAAACGCTCCGCATCTCAGATCTGATCACAGAGAGGGCATGAATGTTAATAATTTGCTTGATATTCTGTTCAAAGGGGCTGAGATACTACTGTCTTGCTGAGGATGGGGTAAGAATCTATCTAATGTAATTAAGCTGCATGTGAAGGTGGAGGCTGTGAAGGTACAAGAGGCAAGTAGGAACAGGAGAGGTGAGGGATCATGAGCAGAGATTAGGGGCAAAAGCAAGAGGTCTCACTGGAAGGAGGAAAGGCACAGCATAAGACAGCCTTTGGAAGTCAAGGGAAATAGATTCATAGATTCATAGATTTCTA